ATTACCAAACTGGATAGATTTTACATCGATCAACTCATCCGTTGTATAGAAATGATTCAGATATTTAAGTAAAAATAATCTACAGTATCAACATTATTTATTACAAGTAAAAGTCCTTGATTCAAAATAAAATGAAATTGCCCTCTGAAATTAAATGAAGCAAGATTCATTACTCATAAAAAAAGTACACTTCAAAATTGTAAAATGTGTTTGAGAAGTTTTTTTGTACTATTTTCCAGTGTTACCATGGACACAGCAGAGTTCCGGCGTAGGGGGAAGGAGATGGTGGACTATGTGGCCGACTACCTGGAAAACGTGGAGCAGCGACCGGTCTACCCAGATGTGGAACCAGGGTACCTCCGTTCTCTGATCCCCGCTGAGGCCCCTCTGGAGCCTGAGACATATGATGATATAATGACAGACGTGGAGAGGGTCATAATGCCAGGGGTGAGATCATGCTTCGGTTGAATTGTTGATGCGCTCTATGGCGTTGGTGATAAACATATTCCCTTGTGCTTCTTCTGACTGTGTAGTTCAGATTAGCTCGTTTAGAAAAGTTATACTGGTATAGAGAAGACAGTTATTTTATTGAATCATGACAACACATTTTGAGATTATATCAAGTAATCTAATTACAACATGTTTTTAGGTGTCCAAAGCTTTCTATTGGACTCAGAATTGTGTGTCAATGTATTTGCTTTGGAGGAAGGCCATAAAGGAGGGGCTGGGATTTTAGATTAAAAAAAAAAGTGATAAATTTCATGAAGTGCTATTTTTTAGGATTAGCAGAACCAAAGTTGTTTTTTTGGCTTTATGAAGACATATTTAAAGGACATTCATACAGCAAACCAATCCATCTGGGGGGGATTTCTCCCAATTCATTACATGTATTAGTCTCATTGTGTCCTTGGCTTTCTAAACAAATTATAGGAACCATAGAAAGGTAAAAATAAGTTTTTTGAAAAAATAATGACAATGACAAATGACAAACGAATGACTATCCAATGTTTTTTTCCAGATCACTCACTGGCACAGCCCATACTTCTATGCCTACTTTGCAGCTGCTTCCTCTTACCCTGCCATGTTGGCTGACATGCTGAGTGCAGCTATTGGATGCATTGGATTTTCCTGGGTAAAAAACACTTTGCTGTGTCTCCGATTTACAATCTTATGAATATATGGAAACACAGAACATTTGAGAAATTGTTTTATATTTTGGGTTTGTTTTCCAGGCTGCCAGCCCAGCATGTACAGAGCTGGAGACAGTGATGTTGGATTGGCTGGGCAAGATGCTGAACCTGCCTGAGGATTTTATCGCTGGGACAGAAGGCCAAGGAGGAGGAGTCATCCAGGTAAAGGTTTTTTGTGTTTTTTATGCTTCCCTGTAAACATTTTCCCAGGCAGTCCAAGAAGTAAACCTACGTTTTATAATCTACCCTGGTTTGAGACAAGCCAAGTCAAAGGCTTAGTTTTATAGGCTTAAAAGAACCGTGACTCACAAATGAGCGCCGCTGAAATCATATTCACCAGGAATTTGGGTACTTTTGATTGTTGCTTTTTCTCTCCCTGGTTCACTGACAATTGGCAGGAAATTGCCTTTAATGTGTCATCAAAAGGCAGACAGAAATGACGATGCTGGGATTATTTCGTGTGGCAAAATGCTAAGCGTTAGTTTAGTGTTCCATCGACAGAAGTGCAGTAGCAGCAGAGGATGCTATCTATATACTCTGTGTGTGTGTGTGTGTGTGTGTGTGTGTGTGTGTGTGTGTGTGTGTGTGTGTGTGTGTGTGTGTGTGTGTGTGTGTGTGCGTGCGTGCGTGCGTGCGTGCGTGCGTGCGTGCGTGCGTGCGTTAGACTGACCTCTGCTGTCAGACTTGCCGATCTTGCTGGGGTAAGTCTTCTGGAAGTGCACGTATGGCTGCGGCGGAGGAAGGTCCGACACCGGATGGAAATTGAACCGACTCTCCCACTCATCTCCTTTAGAGAGAAAATGGAGGGTCAGTGGGTTCGGATGTATAACACTCGCAACACTACCCCGATACAATACTAGGCACATCAGGTTTTCAGGATTAGACATTATCCTTCTGATTTCACACAATGCAAATAGAGAAAGATAGATAGATAAATGATAAATATACACTTTATTCATCCCAATTTTAAAAAGCACAGATTATGTTAAATAAGAAATAATCAAACTGTTGTTTTAAAATCAGGAAATATCACATAAAACTGAAAGGTAAGCAACTTGCAAAGCAGATTTCACACTCAGCACCTTTGGATTTAGTTTGATATCCAGTGTAAGAGTATTTGCGTCCAAAAACTTCTTCTGAGTCAGAGAATATTGGGACTTCAGGAAATATGATTGCACATTATTTTTCTGGAGCAGGTCCTTTTGGATCCTCTGACATCTCTTTTCCCTCCTGCCGTCCAAACTAACTTACTTTGAGGTTCAATGGGATAAAAACAACACTGACAGGGGTGAGTGGGTTCCTCTGCCATGGCTGAACACAGTGGAAATCATGTGGTAAAAACAACATGAGGGAGACAGACCCCTTACAGAGAGACTGGGAGAGTTCAGAGCTGGAGAAATCCACTACAAGGCATAGTTTATTATCTACCTGCAAATGTAGCTACTACTGGCACACATTGATTTATAACTCTCTATATACAGTTTCACTTGTTTATCTTACATTGTACTGGGGAAATACAGAAAGAAGAAGACATTTATTTATCTATCCCTCAAGGGGAAATTCAGTTTTAATTCTGTTAATGTATAAAGTACAAATACACACGTAAACAGGTCCCATACGCATTAGGCCCGACATACACACATGCACAAACCCAACATACACACATGAACAAATCCAACATACATACACACATGAACAAACCCAACATACACACATGCACAAACACCAACAAACCCAACATACACACATGACAAACCCAACATACACACTGACAAACCCAACATACACACATGACAAACCCAACATACACACTGCAAACCCAACATACACACATGCACAAACCCAACATACACACATGCACAAACCCAACATAC